GAGAGGAGGCTCAGCAATTTAGAACAATTGTTCTTGTACAGGACTAAGTTCAATTCCCAGAGCCTCCACAATGGCTCACTATCGCCTGTAATTCCTGCTTCAGGGGATCAGATGCCCTCTTCTGACCTCTGTGAGCACCCAGCACACATCCAAGCAGTCTAAATATCCCCCACATAAAATAAATCTTTTAAAAAATGAATTTAAAGACATTTTCTTCAGAAACTTCTCACAGAGTTTAAGAGAGAGCTATATCTGTTTCTGCTGAGTCTGCGGAGTGTGTTGTTGCTGAAGAGAAGGTAATTGTGTGCTACAGACAAAAGCCTGAAGGATGAGAGCCAGCATCTCTCCCAAGTACTGTAACTGTTCCTCCTGCTCAGGCCTTCAAAGGTATTTGTGATGAAGCTGAGTTCATCTACCTCCAGCCACAGTGGTAAGCAATGGGACCTAGAGGCTCGGTGACCTCAGGTCTCCGCTCGGGTGGCTGCCAACCCAGTGCACACACTAACCTGTGTGTGTCACATACACAGTTTCTGCCATGCCAGCTCCCCCACCCCTCAAAAAAATGATTTTGATGGAGATGTTTTTATCTGGAAACCATTCAGTCCGATTTTATTTTTCTTTTAAGTGCATCATCCTCCCACAGAAAACCTTTAGTAACAGACTCTAGACCAAGGTGACTCAGTGTATCGGGTACTGATGCTGAGAGCCGATTGAAGCATCTTTACTCCAAAATTCCATCTCAGATCACTTAGTTACCTTTTTCATTCTTTCAACTCCTGTTATTTTAATATTCTCTATTTGATAAAGTTCTAACTACAGAAAAATATAAAACTTTTCTCTATTAAGTAGCACCAGTTTGCATGCATGATGTGTGTATGTGTGTGTGTCTTCCTGTATGCCTCATGTGCCTGTGGAGGCCAGAGCACTCATAGAATTCCTTGATCATTCTGTTTTGTTATCTGGAGACAGGGTAATGCAGAGAACTAGAAGCTGTCAGAATCTGTCTCCATTCCTCAATGTTGTGCTAATAGCGATGAATAGACATGTCTGTCCTTATATGGGTGTCAGGGATTCAAACTCAGGTCCTTAGGACAGCAGAGCCCTTATCCCTGGAGCCTTCTCCCTGGCCCCAGCAATGCCAGTTTTAAACACAAACTATTTAACTGTAGCTCAGTGCCGTTATGACCACAGGGCCTAGTGTGACTATCACATCACACATCCAAGAAGCTGGTCCCCTACTCTTGCAGTTTCTATCCCTGCCACACTGGACCCTGAAGTGTTAGACTCAACCAGCCCTCCCCAAAGTGTGTGTGTGTGTGTGTGTGTGTGTGTGTGTGTGTGTGTCTGTGTGTGTGTGTGTGTGTAGTCCCCTCTGCCTGAAACAAGATGCCTTTCTCCTCCTTCAGTATCTCCACAGTCTTTACACCCTTAGGCAAGCACACAATGCATGTCCCTCTAGATCTGAACTCTGTATCTCTTCTTCAATGTGTATGTGGCACTCCCTGCTCCTCCTCTAGGGTTATGGCTCTCTGGTTATTTATCTACCTGGACAGCAAGTAATTGTGTGTGGACTGTAGCTGCAGCTGCTCTGCTCATCACTGATGCCCAGCACTTAGTCCTTAATAAAGATTTCCTGTGTGAATGGATGGATTATTTAGCAAGAAATTTTCTGTGCAACGGGAACACAAGTATTCAGTATGCCCAATAATTAGTGTGAGATGAGTTCTAGGTTATGTTCAAAGGGGATCAAATTCTGTTTCAGTCTGAGTTGGTGAACACTAAGTGATCCTGGAGCTGGTCCTGTTTGTAGTCAGTCTTTTCTACAACTTAAGGGATGCCTGATGACACCAGAGCCTTATGTTTTAAGGTACTCAAGTCATCCATCCTTGTGTTACTGGTGTAGTACAATTTCCAGGGCTTATTTGATGTGATCATCAGCTTTCTGTCACACTGAAAAAAGTACCTGAAAAAACAACACACCTGAAAAAAATGCCTACAAAGAGAAGTGGTTGTTATGGTCTACAGCTTCAGGGGTCTCAGTGTATGAACCCTTGGAGGGGCTTTGCTCCTATTGCTTTGGGTCTAAAGTGAGGCTGAAAGTGATGGTGGGGTCACATGAAAGAACAAAACTGCCACCTCATGGCAGCCACTAAGGAGAACTAGAGGGAAAGAAGAGGCAACAGGGACAAGCTCTACCCTTCACAAGTACACTTCCACTGCCCCACTTTGTGCAGCTGGGCTCTGGCTTTTTATAGCCCTTCAGTTAGGAATTCATCAATGGATTATCAGTCCAGCCACCAGGGGGGGTGCCTTCATGATTCAACCACTTCCCAAGGCTAGACCTCTGACCTTGGCTGCATATGGAATCCAACTTACAACGAATCAGTCTGGGTGGGCATCACTTCATATTCAAACCATAATAGCTGGCCCTCTAAAATGCTAGTTCCACTGAATTACAGTGAGCTAGGCAAGATGGAAATATGTGACCCAAAAGTTTACTTCTCTTGTCTTCCCCCCGGATCTCCTCTGTGTCCTTCCCCCCTTCCCCATTGCTTCTTAAGGACTGCTGAGTCTTGTGAACTACTTTGGTTGTGCTCAAACATTTCCAACAGAAAATTACCCTCATCTATTTTAAGTTTAACTTGGCTCTTCAGAATGAAATGGTCTGATTAGCCTTATAATCATAGTGATGGTGGTGGTTGGGCGCTCCAGAGAATCCTCCAGAACCAGTTTGAATGCACTGGTAACACTGTCACAGAGGTGCTGATCTTGGGATAAAAATCACAGGGCACACTAGCTAATTCAGAACAGAAATTTAACTCAAGGATCAGCTAAAACCTATTCTTCTACCCTAAAAGCTACAGAGCTACCCTTGTGAGAATGGACAATCCTGAGATGCCCAGCAAAAACCTTGGGCAGTGGCAGCAAACAGGAGCCTGGGTTCCTGTTCGAACTTGGCCCACAACCTATTTTATTCACTACACTATATCTATACTTGAGAAACAACCTGGAAGGGAGGTAGTGAAAGTAGAATGTTCATAATGGAATTGAAGATAAAAGAAATAATAAGAAAAGCAAAAGCCCACAGGTAAGATTGGTATTGATTGAACATCTTAGAAAACATTGTTTTAAGAGATTGGGGCATGCTTCCTTTATGGAAAGTGAGGGATTCGGCTCAGCTGCACTTGAATTAGAGTGTGAATATGAATCATGCCCAAGGGCATCCCTGGAGGGCAAGCTTTAGACATTTTGGGACTCTTCGGGGGATAAAGTGGTAGCTTAGAACATATGAGGGCTTACAAGTCAGCCATACCTGAGTTTAATGCTCAAGTTTACCTCAATGACATTGAGCAAATAAGTTCATGATCTTCCTCATCCTCCTACCCTTCTTCCTTTTCGAATTTGTGTAAGTCTGAGTCATGAAGGCCTGTAATCTTAACATTTAAGAGGCCAAGGTCAGAGGATTGTGAGGTCCAAACTGTAAATAGTAGGACCCAGTCTCAACAACAAAGAACAACAGTGATTTGTATAAGCTTGTATAGAACAGCTGGCTTGTATATTTGCTATGAAGTTCAAATAAGATCGCCTGGAAACAAAGATCATTGCCCAAAGCGGGCATGCAATCAATCCCATTATTCCTTTGCTTCCAATCAACAGCTGGGCAAGGGAGAAGAAGCAAGTTGGTGCCTCTGTTATCCTAGGAACAAATTCTCCTAGGAAGTCACAGACCTCTCCCTGGTCCAGGCAGTATAGCTGAAGCAATGTCAGACCAAGGGTGAGGCATCTCAGAGTGGATGTCTCTCTCCCTAACTTCATCCCCTGGACCACCTTAGTGATGACACACCTAAAACCCAGAAAAACACTGTCATTTAACTTAAGCCTGTTACTTGTCTATAGCACACTTAGAATTTGAACCCAGATATCTAGGCTAGTAGATCTGTTAGTAGCCTACAGATCGGCTTTCCTGCCTGTGTCAGAGTGCTAGCATACACCACTGTACTATAAGTGGCCTCTGGACAGCTGAGCATCACTGACTGAAGTGTACAAATGCTCTCAATACCACAAGAGGACTTGTCTCAAATTTTCAGCACATTTCAAAACATTTACTACAAGACTTGCTTTACAGTCAGAGTTCAAGAAATAAATATTCACGAGTAGAGGGGGAGGAAAGAAGATTCTTGTGGCCTTATAATTTTAATGCAGAGAAACAGTCATAATAAACATTAACCCAGCAGAAGGGGCAGAACGCATTAATTTCACAACATGTTCTGCTCTTTAAGAAGTTAGCTGTTCAGGCTCCATGAGGAATCTTGAACTCCCAGAGACTCACTCCCACTGTTTCAAAAGAGAAAATTGCCTGCCCCCACTGTGAGTGGGGGGTGGGTAGAGAGACATAATGGAGTCTGGGGGAGGTGAGGGGGATTCGTCTGCAACAATGTACTCTTTATAAACCAGGGTGATGGAAACAAAACCAATGCTTGTACTTAAGATGAATGAAGGCTCCCGCACAGGTCTGGCAGGACCTGGGTCTCTGATTCTAGCCATCTCCTAGTCATGCCAGTGTGGCTAGCTCATGTGACAACATATTTTAAAGCAGTTGCCATAATACAATAGACTAGGCAGAGCTTTGACTTTTGAGTCTTTCCATCAACAGTCCTTTGTCTTTTGATGCTTAGCAAGTTTCTTAATCCCAGACTGGGAAAAAGACAAGAGGACGTCTGCTAGGAAGACTAAAGAAACTGGGGAAAGTCACCACCTACATGAAGACTACACAAGCACCTGCTGGGTGACATCCGCGTGCATGAGACACTTCCATTCTATTCTCCTCTCTAGGAAATGAGCATGTAGGTCTGATCTCCAGAGGCCATTTTAGTTGAGCATTGTGAGTGTATGGAGGAAATTATGTAGAAGTTTTAGGCTTGTGGATCTGGCTTTATAGAGGCACTGTCTTCACCCCAGAGACTCCCAGCCTCCACCCTCACTGTTCTCTCCTTCTGCAGGGGAAATCTGCGCATTCAAGATCCATGGGCAGGAGCTGCCCTTTGAGGCTGTGGTGCTCAATAAGACGTCTGGAGAGGGCCGGCTCCGTGCCAAGAGTCCCATCGACTGTGAGCTGCAGAAGGAGTACACATTCATCATCCAGGCCTATGACTGTGGTGTGGGGCCTCGGGAAGCAGCCTGGAAGAAGTCACACAAGTGAGCTCCCTGTCTGCCACTTCTGCCCTGGACCATCCACTCCCATTCATTCTGTTTACAAACTGTCCTTTAAGTAGGTCCACTACAGCTCACACCAGCGGTACACTTGGAAGGTGGTTTAAAACTCCCAATTCTATCAGCATCCCCTTGCCTAGGAGCAGGAAGTGGGCTCTGGTGGGGGTGATTGGGGGAGGGATATTCATGTTATAACTAGTCATATTGGAAGAAAACCCAGATGCAGCCAAGATGATGGTGAGTGTTCCCAGAACATCCACACAAGCTGATTTCTACCCCCAGGAATCCTGTAACTGCTTTTCTTCTCTGGAAGAGACTCTTAGGCCACCCCCAGAACTGAGTGCAAGCATTACTTCCTCTAGGAAGCATTCCCTAACCCACCTCTCTCCTCAGGCCCAGTCTAAACTTCTTTCTGCATTTCTCAAACGTTCTTTGATTCTCTTTTTCACATACTTCTCACTTTGAGTCAACACTGTTCTTTCCTTTATGGAGTTTGGCTCAGAGGATAACACAGCTGACTTCTTCCTGAATGGACGAAGGAGTAGATAGATGAAGGGAACATGGAAAGGGGAGAAGACAGAGAAGGAATGTGTTGCCTGAGGTGAGCAATAGGGAATGAGGAAGATTTGGTCAGCATCAGGGCAAGAGCAGGTTGCTTCGGTTGGTACCCAGAGGGAGGGAAGACAGAACACTCAGCTAAGAGTTGCCCTGAGCACTTTGAGGCCTCTTCACTCACATGGCCTTGGGCTTGATCAATGCCCCACAGCACATGGTGTGATTCATTCTTTACCATGCATTCTTCTTTCTGATTGGTGCTCCAGGGCTGTGGTCCACATCCAGGTGAAGGATGTCAATGAGTTTGCGCCCACCTTCAAAGAGCCAGCTTACAAGGCCATCGTCACAGAGGGCAAGATCTATGACAGCATCCTGCAGGTAGAAGCCATTGACGAGGACTGCTCCCCCCAGTACAGCCAGATTTGCAACTATGAAATTGTCACAACGGATGTGCCTTTCGCCATTGACAGAAATGGTAAGTGTCCTGAAAAGATTCCAGTACTGTCAAGGAAACAAATTTACTGTCCCTGCTCTCAAGGGCCCCAAATGGTACAAACCTAGAGATCCTTTATCTATCTAGACACCATGACCCAAGTCTGTACTTGAGTTGATGGCTTTTGATTTCTAAACTACTTCCAGAAAACCCCAGGAACTTCAATAAATATTGTCTGGAGAACTCATAATCTGATACATTTGAATACAAAACAAAGACAGTGTCCTGGAATAATTAATTATTATCTAGGTGTGTGCCTCATCATCACCTTGGGCACATCTGGATGCCATTCAATATTCTTAGTTATAACATGAGCCCCCCGATCACCACCACAACAACTTGCTTTCTGCTCCCAGGCAAATAGATACTAACAGAACTGAGAATTTTAAACTACCTTCCAACCATAACTTTGTTAAGAAATTTTTAAAAACTCTTGTCAACTTTCCCTTTGAGAATTTCAACTGTAGCAGCGCCTTCCTCCCAATTTGAATTGAACTGAAAATGGTCCCATAGAACCATTTGGATATTTCTCATCACCATTAATGTGAGTCTTATTATAGTATACACACGGCCAGAGGGTCCAATCAGCTCAGTCCACTTGGATCCACTTGGGCTATAACTTGATTGTAATGAGGTAGTACTATTTGCTAAGTACATTCCTCACCATTAGAGTCAGTTGTGTGGGTGTCTGTACATTATCCCCACTTTGTTTCTGAGAATATTTGAGTAACACAGAAGGATGCAAACGTTGCAAGCCCTGAAGCATTCTGTAACCAAGTGTTAGGTTTAACAATGGGCTCAGAGAAGACCTAGAATAGAACTCAAGAGAGACACAAGCACACCCTCATGGAGATTACCAAACAGCAATGGAGAAAGAGAGACGGGGTGGAGGGGAGAGGGAGGGAGGAAAACGGGGAAAGGGAGAATATTAAGGGAAAATGAAGAGTAAAACCATGTACAAAACATGCTGGGAACTGGAGTTGGGCTGAAGATTAGATTTGAGAATCTTTATAGAAAACATCTACAGGGGAAACAAATTAGTCACTTTCTCCTAAGTCTTCAGGAATGCTTCATAACATTGAGATTAAAAGGAAGCTTGTTCTGTGATGTAATCTTCTGCATCGTCAGTTCAATAGGAGGGTCCCTAGATGAAGGGAACACCTTCACCTGCACCTTCAAATAGCTTCCCATATGGTCTGCCTGACTGTTAAGGCAAAAGGTTAACGGGCATAGGACTAAGAGTACCTGTTGAGACATCATTATTCCTAACTGTACAGGGCAGGAGATCTGTGCACAGGAAAGGGAAGATGGGAATACTGAAGTGAAGATGAGTTTTATTTGGAGAACCATCCAGACCCTCACAGCTTCTCTACTAAGCCAAGCCTACAGGCTGGCCTGTACTCACTACACACACACACACACACACACACACACACACACACACACACACACA